GCTAATTACCCTTGAACTGAATGTTTTGCTGGGCCATTTAAAAGGATAGAATCATAGTATCCTAGAATCCCTACTGTGCAGATAGAGGCCATTTGGCCCATGTCTGCACCAACTCTCTGAAGAACATCTCACCCAGACCCAATTAAGAATCAACTACAACTCAGGTAAGGATGGCAGATTTCCTTCCCTAAAGGACATTGGTGAATTAGATAGATTTTATATCTGACAGTAACTTCATATCCCAAAATTTAATTGATTTTAAATTACATTAGCTGTCTCAGTGAGAATTTGAACACATGTCCCCACATCATAAACAGTGCCTCTGATCCATTGCCATTACCATGACACTAGCATCTTCTTGGGAGCAAGAACAGACAAGGTGATATTTCCATTCATAGGAGAGCTGAGTCTGAATCAGCAAAAGTGTCCAGCGATATCAATATGAAAAGTGTTGGAGAAAACGTATTTTTCAATTCCTTTAATTATTATTTTCATGGGAAAAACAGACATTTGTTTTCTCTAAAAATAGAGAAATTTTAGTCGGGTTGTAGTTTACAGCTAAACTCTAAGCATGAGTCTAACTCCACTGCAATTGCTAATATTGAGTCAAAGAATGTGGGAATGCTTAGCTTTATGGTGACAAAGGGAAGGTGCTGATGGTGAAATGGAAACTAACTGTTTAATGTCTTCACCAGTCCAATGAGTAACCTGGCCAATTAACTTCAAACAGAAATGGAGTAGCTATGAAAATGATGTGCTGAGGAATGCATTATTCAAGCAACAACCTGCATAAGTCTTCCTCAACTGTTCAGATCACAGTCCAAGTGTATTTATATTGGTGACTCATCTCTCGATCTCTGCTGCTGGCTACTCAGTACAGAATGCCAATTTACATCTACATATATTGGCTTTACAGCAAATCCAGCTTCTGTGTTTTATGGAACTGCTTCCTGGGTGTGCAAGCCAGGTAGGTTACAGTGGAGTTACTATGGATGGGGTGATCATGGACTGGGGCAACTCCTGACAGCTGCCTCAAGAAGCAGGAGCAGGGAGTCAGGGTGTGGTGCTGAACAGCGGTTAGTCAGAGACAATGGACTGATGGATAAAGCCTGAGGAAACAGTAAAATGAGGAAACTAGGGCCTCAGGAAAATGGGCCAATGTAACACTGAGACACAGGCTACACATACAGGGGCAACACATGGGGAAAACCCAGAGAGGGCAACACAGAGAGAGGGGCAGCACAGAGGCAAGAGCAGCACAGAGAGAGGGGCAGCACAGAGACGGGGGCAGCACTGAGAGGGGGAGGGGCAGCACTGAGAGGTGAGCAGCACTGAGAGGGGGGCAGCACTGAGACAGGGGCTGACAGCACTGAGAAGCGGGCTGCACTGAGAGAAGGGCAGTCAGTACTGAGACAGGGGCAGCACTGAGAGGGGGGCAGCACTGAGACAGGGGCAGACAGCACTGAGAGGGGGGCAGACAGCACTGAGACAGGGGCAGACAGCACTGAGAGGGGGAGAGCACTGAGAAGGGGGCTGCACTGAGTGGCGGGCAGTCAGTACTGAGACAGGGGCAGCACTGAGAGGGGGAGAGCACTGAGAAGGGAGCTGCACTGAGAGGGGGGCAGTCAGTACTGAGACAGGGGCAGCACTGAGAGAGGGGCAGCACTGAGACATGGAGAGTATTGAATCAAAGGTGACAATTTTAATTTCCCATCTAGAGCTAACTGTGTTTGCGCTCTTAGTTTTGACAACGTCTCACACAACAACTGCTCCTACAGAGCCAGAAGTAAAGATTCTTAATTTAACGGGACTCAATCCTTCTAGTTCCTTTTTTTTAACATTTGATGACAGGTTTCAAACCAAATATTTGAGGGATGTAGTAAGTACCCCCTTATAGGGAACCATCAATAAACGACAACAAAAAATAAGAAAACCAACACTTTAAAGGAAATTGTAGAAATTAGATGAAGTAACATTCAGTGAGGCTGAGAAAGCTCCAGGGATCATCACATGAACAAACCTTCAGGAATGTCTCCAACCAATGTCGCCAACCCTGAGCTTATACACAGCACATTGGGAAAAAGCTGGAATCACATCGGTGTATCTGTGAAATCCGATGTAACAACAGGACTGGAAGCCTTGGCGGTGTTTGCAAATTTTGAGATCAGAAGGAAAAACAAGCTCAAGGCCACTTGCAGAATGAAAGCAGGTGAACTCCAACCGATTTATGTTACCAGCATGTTGGAAAGGTGATGCTGACTGCCTCAGTAAATATTGTTAGTTGTTCTGAGCAGAGTTAAATTTTTCAAATATTTGCTGTGTTGTGATTTGTTTTGCAAAGGAAGCGATTGTGTGGTGAGAATAACCCCTTTTGAAATGGTTTTCAGTTCATTGGGTCCTGGCAGCAATACTGAAGTAGAGGGGAGCTGTCGCAATGGATAGGCTGGGACCAGTGTCTTGGCAAATCAAATAACTAGGCAATAAGAGAGAGCCTTTAAACTAATTAGAGAGGTCAAGTGAACAGGAGCATGGAAATGTAAGCTGACAAACAATGCAAGGGAATATGGCAGCATTAAAAAGGAGCTGTTTGGATATTGCAGCTGTACAAAACTCTGGTGCGGCCGCACTTGGAGTATTGCGTACAATTCTGGTCACCGCATTATAGGAAGGATGTGGAAGCATTGGAAAGGGTGCAGAGGAGATTTACCAGGACGTTGCCTGGTATGGAGGGAAGGTCTTATGAGGAAAGGCTGAGGGTTTTGAGGCTGTTTTCGTTAGAGAGAAGAAGGTTAAGAGGTGACTTGATAGAGACATACAAGATCATCAGAGGATTAGATAGGGTGGACAGTGGGAGCCTTTTTCCTCGGATGGTGATGGCTAGCACGAGGGGACATAGCTTTAAATTGAGGGGTGATAGATATAGGACAGATGTCAGAGGTAGGTTCTTTACTCAGAGAGTAGTAAGGGCGTGGAATGCCCTGCCTGCAAAAATAGTAGACTCGCCCACTTTAAGGGCATTTAAATGGTCATTGGATAAACATATGGATGATAATGGAATAGTTTAGGTTAGATGGGCTTCAGATTGGTTTCACAGGTCGGCGCAACATCGAGAGCTGAAGGGCCTGTACTGCGCTGTAATGTTCTATGTTCTATTGATACCCAGAGTGGGTCAGTAAGGGAAAATGTAAAAACATAGAAAAACAGTAGTAAATAGGGTCAAAGGGGGAAAAAAATTGGTAAAAGGCAAAGTTAATGGCTCATTATTGAATGTGTGTAGTATTTAGAAGAAAATAAATTAGTTAATGGCATGAATACAGAGTGCAATCTTACAGCCATTACAGAGTTATGGTTACAAGGAGATTAAAGCTGGGATATATTCAAAGTTTTGGTTACAAGGAGATTAAAGCTGGCAAATATTCAGGGTTATGATCACAAGGAAATCAGAGCTGGGATATATTCAGGGTTATGTGACTTTTCAGAAGGACAGGCAAGAAGCAAAGAGCAGTGGGCTGGCATTGTTAGCCCACAGTTTCATTAGTAGGAGAATCAAAGATTATGGGGTGAAGTAGAGGACTATCAGATCAAGCATGATCACATTGAATGGATCAACAGATTTGATAGGCTGAATTACCTATTTCTGCTCTGATGTTGTATGGTATTTCCACACAGCATGTAGTTAGGATCTGGAAGTGTGGTGTGGTAGGTTCAATCGAGGAATTTAAGTCGGCTTTGGATTACTATTTAAATAGAAACAAAGTGTAGGGTAGAAGGGAAAATGCAGAAGTTCAGCACCAAGCCAGTACAAGCATGATGGGCTGAATGGCCTCCTTCTGCACTGTAACAATTCTGTGGTTGTGTTGTAGTTGTGTGGGTAAGTGAATTCAGATGAATGTGAAAAAAAGCAAGGAAGGATTTTAGCACAAAGAGTCGCTCAGAGAGAAGGAAGAAGTATTATTGTTTTGTTTTGATGAAATCAGAAAGAAATGGCAGATTTTTATTGCAATACGGATACAGGGTAGAACAGGTTGGGGGGTTTTTAATTGACTGGAAGATGGTGGGTGGAGACTCTACCTCCTTCCTACCTCTGCCCTGATTAAGTGTAGGGCTGGGAGGCTCATGGACAGCCTTTAGGACTGCGGCTGATTTAGGCCTTAAAGTGGTCAATTAATGTCAATTAATTCATCCATCAGCTGGTGGACGACTTGCTATACAAAAGGCACAGCATGTAATGGTTGGTGGAGGTTTCCCAAGTGTTGGTGGAAGTTTCCCAAGGTGGAGGGGAGAAGGGTTCATTTTTCAAGGCACTGCCTAATCAAAGAAACTGGCATTGGGAAATGAAGAGCTATTGAAAACCACCCCTCTGCCCTCATTCCTCCACAATGCCCTTCTCCATGTGGCCTTGATCGATTGGCATTTCTAGGCTTCAGGTGGGTGCAGTACCAGAAACAACCACAGACTCACTGGTGGCAGTATTGCTGAGAGATCGTAAGAACTGCCGATGCTGGAGTCAGAGATAACACAGTGTGGAGCTGGAGGAACACAGCAGGTCAGGCAGCACCAGAGGAGCAGGAAAGCTGACGTTTTGGGTCCCTTCTTCAGAAATGGAGGCTGACATCTTTTGGAGTTGAGCTTTCTGCTATAGAGATCCTTGATACCAGGGGAGGCCTGCTGCTGAGAGGCACTAAATGTTCCCAGCATTCCCAAAAATAGGTGATGTGGTACCAAGAACCCTGTCAACTACATTAAGTACCAGTCACTGTGTGGCTCGGGTCATGACTGAGATAATGAGCTGATAAAGGGTGGGGGAGGATTCTGCATTTATACACGGCCAGCTGTTGATGGCTGCTGCCTTTCCAGGGCTTCTTTATGAGATTAGGCTTATACTGAGGTTTGTTACTGGTTGTTTGCTGAAGGACATTTCTGCAGGTTGGCACATGCTTGTAAATCATGGCCCTACAAGAATAGGACAAGTTACCAGAATCACAAAAATCATAAAAGAATGAATTCCTTTCCCTTCTTTAATAAAATATGTTAGAAATTGCCATACAACTGTTTCAACTCCATAACCTCACCTCTAGTCAAGTGGTAGGGAACAGCATTTAGCACGTTCTTTGCTGTTACTTCCTCCTTTACAATTCTAACTCATTTATCTGCTCAACAAAATTTGAGTTATCTGATAGTTTGAATGAAACCACAAAACTGACACAGCAAAGTGAGTATTTACTGTCAGAATATCTGAGTTGTCAGCAAGTACTAAATTAAGTGGAGATGATGATTATTTGAGACTTGTAAAAGGACTAAGATGTGGCATTTGCAGACGTGACACAAAACTTTTACACAGATAAGTACACACAAACTAAATTAAATGAGTGTTGTCGCCCATCTGGTTACAGAGGCAAGAGGCCATTTTGTTCTGAGTGGGGTGTCCCAAAATTTCTAAAATTTCAAAGTCCAGTTTGCACTCTGATATATAAAACTTATTTTAAAAAATCTAACCTATTTTTCTAATCAACCTGTTCAGAGATGTTATTAGACTCCCCTGGAACAGGTGAGACTTGAACCCAGGTCTCTCGGTCTGTTTTCCCACTTGCTTCTGTGAGTCCCGATGTGGGAATTATTACAGTGAGTTTCATTCCAGCTAGTGGCAGTGTTAAAATGAAGGTAGTCAACCCTAGCAGTAACCACTCATTCCTGCTCCCCAACTATTTTAGTTTTGTTTTAATAGAAATCACCACTGGTAAAAGCACTCATGTATCCAATTTAGTATTTACATGCAAAGCCCATTATGGCAATGCAAACCATCAAAGGTGAGGGGTAGGGAAAGCAGGAAGGGACTAAAACAAAATGGAGTTGGAGGGGGAAATAAAGCACTGTATATCCGCAGTGCCCACCTCTCTCTAAAGGCATCGACAGCATTGATGGATACCACATGCTCCCTCTCCAAGGACAGCCAGGCACAAACATAACCATGGAACAGAGTCAGACAGGCAGCAAGGATAACTCCTGCCACAGCCCGCTCCCTGGACCTCTTTATATCCAGCCTGGCCATGCCCTGGAGCACCCCCACTGTTTTAACGTGGACCTCCCCAAACATGCTGATTGGGTTATCTCATTAACTGATGTAAATCAGGATTTTATAGTGTACATAGAACCCCAGCGTAGTGCTGAGCATTTACTGGGTACAGGCTTGCACCACGTACACTCTGTTCAGTAAATCTCAGTGACTGTTACACTGACCTCTGGTGGGCAGATCATACAATCCGCTAAGCAACTGCTGTCAAAATGGAATGGGCCTCCCAATGAATAATCTGGCACCTGGTATACCAGGCTAACTGCCCAATAATTAATTACTACCCTGTTAGTTTTTTTAAGGCCACCAGGTTTCCAATAAATGTTTAACAGTGCAAAGCAAATGGCAGGACTAAAGCTGTAATCATGTTCCGCCCCCACCCCCCTCTCCCTTATAACAGGTTCGTAATTAACAAAGTGTGACAGCCCCATCTAAAAAGTTATAGTGGGCAGAATGAAATTCACTGTCAAAGTGCCCAATCTGGAGCAGCAGAGGCTCCTATAGCCGGGTGAGATGGGCAGTGTGATTTCCTCACCCAGTTTAGTGCAGTAATGAACCAATGAGCTGGTGCTCCATCTATTGGCTCAGACAACTAAAAATGAATCTGTGAATCTTCAGCAGCAAATCCAAATAATTTTGAGAAAGTTCCACACTTCGTATTCTGAGCAACCACTTTTGGAAGCCAGGCTACAGAGATGGACAAAATTGTGCAGTCTTAAATATTACCACGTGTCAGTCAACAGAAGTGCATCTTCGGAAATAATCGAAAGTGACACAAACAAAAACAAAATCTACCACATCAACTGAAAGTTTGCCTTTTAAATGTGGGGAGAATTCAATTCTCAACGGTGTTTCCATTCCTTCCTATTTATCGTTCACTCTCCTTGTGCATATGGACAAGACGTGAGTGGGCCAGTTACCTGGCCACTGCACTGCTGTTAAAATCCATGTAGTCAAACTCATCTCCCACATCGTCCTTGATCACGTTATCGACTCCGCGGTGCTGCAAACATTTCTGGACTGCATTCAGCACGGCCTGCAGCCGTCTATCAAGGGCAAGGAGGTGAGGCTCTGTCAATACTGGACTGAGAGCATCATGAAGCAAGGATTCCCGCATAACATCACTTAAACGATAATCTGGCTGTGACAAGAGCTTCAAGCGTAAGAGTGTTGACTTCTTTATTCTGTAAAGTAAACAGTACATCGATTAGGGTCTTCAGTTGATAATCTATTGGACTGGATTTTGCATCAAGAATAATAGGGAGAGCATCTTACTCCTCAACAGTGAATCCAATCAGATAGCAACTTGTGTCCATGTAGGTACATTAGAAGTGGATGTTTGTAAGTTGTTGTTTTAAAGTTTCTTTTGTAGTTCCTACAGAGACACCTCACTGAGAGATTTGGTGTTTAAACACATAGGGGCCATTTCAAACCCACCGATTCCCATAGTTACCTTGACTACACCTCCTCTCACCCACCCTCCTGCAAGACTGCGATCTCTTACTGCCAATTCCTCTGCCTCCGCCACTGCTCCCAAGATGGAGTGTTCCACTCCCAGACATCCCAGATGTCCTGCTGCTTCAAGGACTGTGACATCCCCGCTCCATTGATCCAAAATGCCCTCAACTGCATCTCTTGCATTTCCCACACTTCTGCCCTCAAACCCCCTCCCAACAAAAACAAGGACAGAGACTCCCCCTGATCCTCACACGCCACCCCAGCAACATCCACATCCAGCGCATCATACTCTGCCACTTCTGCCACCTGCAATCCGACCCCACCACCAAAGATATATTTCCCTCCCCACCCCTATCTGTCTTTCGTAGGAACCACTCACCCCGCGACTCCCTCATCCAGTCCACACTCCCCACTAACCCCACCAGCACTGGCATCTTTCCCTGCATCTGCAGGAGGTTCAATACCTGCCCCTACACCACCCCGCTCACCTCCATCCAAGGCCCAAGACAAACTTTCCATATCTGACAGAGGTTCATCTGTACATCCTCCAGCCTGGTCTACTCTATCTGTTGCTTCCGATGTGGCCTCCTCTACATAGCTGAGACCAAGGATAGACTCAGAGACCGATTCGCGGAGTATCTGCGCTTTGAATGCTATAATCAACAATACCTTCCAATTGCTAACCATTTTAACTCCCCCTCTCACTCCCTTGGTGACATGTCCATCCTGGGCCTCCTCCACTGTCACAATGACGCCACACGCAAGCTGGAGGAACAACACCTCATATTTCGCCTCAGCAGCCTACAATCCTGAACACAGAATTCACCAGTTTCAAAATCTCCCCACCACCGGCTTCATCCCAAGTCCAACCCTCCCTCCCGCCTCTTTGACCTGACACAACCTGTCCATTTTCTTTTCCACCTATCCGGCCCACCCTTCCCACTGACCAATCCCCACTACCCCTACCTGCACCCTCCTATCACCATCCCGCCTATCTTCCCCTAGCCCTACCCTTCCTCCCTCTATTTAGTTCCCAGCTCCCTTTCCCCTCCCAGTTCTGATGAAGTGTCCCGACCTGAAACGTCAACTCTTCTGCTTCTCTGATGCTGCCTGACCTGCTGTGTTCATCCAGCTCCACACTGTAGTGACACAGGGACCATAGATTTGCTGTACCTACCCAGTTCATACCCACTAAACATACCATATGTGAGAAAGTTCCTTTCAAGAGTAAGTGAATTTTTAATAGGCTAATATCTTAATTACTGCAAATCAACCTCTCCAGCAATGAAAATTACATTTTACATGAGTGGAGTCTCATTCCTTCAGATTTAAATTATTGCTGACTATTTAAAAAAAATTGATCCTCTGACCTCGGGTCAAAAAGTAACAGTAGAACCAATGCATGTCCAGATTAGGCACAGATGGTCTCATGGCTAAATTGTTATGTTTCATACCCATCTTATGACCCAGACACAGGTATAACACATGTTTGAATGAATTTGTCCTCATTTATAAGATATCATTCTGACAGTGAGGGATTACCTGCAGCACTGAATCAGAGGGGCAAGTATGGAGAGTTCATCATGTGAGTGTTTCCCAAACCTAAGAAAAATAAAGGAATGCTTTAAAAGCTGGTTTGCTGAAATGGGAAAGAAAGCATTGTTATCCAGATATGCTCATCAGGATGAGATACAGACATTAATTAAGGTTGGTTTGTTGTCAGTATGGATTCCCACGCAAGCCCAACAATGCACTTTCAACTATTTGTTATTTTGCACAATAACCATACTCTTTAATTTTTCTGTCCATGAAATGTTGGTAATATTACATCACGGTTAATGGATTAAATGAGTCTGCCCCCATGTTAGCTCATCTGCTGCTGAAATTACCATCCACGCTTTTGTAACCTCAAACCTTAAAGTTGCTGTCCTGGTTGACTTCCTATTTTCCACCCCACATGAACTTGAACTCATCCCAAGCTCTCATGATCATGTCCAAACTCATACCAAGTCCCATTCATGTATTACCCTCAAGTTGCTCAGCTACTTTGACTCCTAGTCCAGAAATGCTCGATTTTAGAATTCTCATTATTTTGTAATTGTCTCTATAAATCCCTCTGTATCGCTACCCCTTTCCTCATTTATGATTCTCCTTAAAAACTTTTAGATCAAGCTTTTAGTCATCAGTCCAAATATCTCCTGATGTGTTTTGGTGTCAAATTTTGTTTAATAATGGTCCTGTTAAGCAACAAAGGATGTTTTAATGTATTAAAGATGCATGGTGTCACAACAAAGTGATAGCAAAAAAAAGGATTGTGACAGCAAAGGAGTAACAGGTTGTTCATAACAGGACAGAATTTCCAAAAAAAATGAAGATATTTTACTATAAGCAATTGACCTGTTTTTTTGTTTGAACTTAGGAAGTCTTAAATTATCTGTTAATATGAGCAAAACCAATGAATTACTAGACTAAACTAGTGCTTGAGTCTCAATGATGGCATAATGCAATATTTTACTATAATGCAGTGTTACTTCTATCTACAGCATTGAACTGCAAAGCTGAACAATCACCCTATGTTTTGGACAGACCCAAAAACATGACAGATTTTTGACCCTGTCATGTTCTGATACCAGAAACATAAACTGATTCTCAACAGGTTGTAGCTTATCATAGAATCCCTATTTAGTGTGTAAAGAGGTCATTCAGCCCATCAGGCCCACATCAACCCTCAAAACAGCATCCCAGCCAGATCTAGCCCTCTGCCCTATCCCCATATGCAAACCACCACAGCTAATCCACTTAGCCTGCACATTTCTTGTCACTATGGGCAATTTAGCATGGCCAGTCCACCTAATCTGCACACCCTGAACTGTGGAATGAAACAGAAGCACCTGGAGGAAACCCATACAGACACAGGGAGAATGTGAAAATTCCACACAGATAGTCACTCCAGGTTGGAATTGAACCCAGGAACCTGGTGCTATAAGGCAGCAGCACTAACCACTGAGGCACCATGTCACCCCAAGCAAGCTGGCTCATCCGGGAATGATAGCAGCCTGTATAGCTCAGAAAGCTTTGTTTCTCCAAATCGTGTTTTTTTTACAAGAGTCTGAGATAGTCTTTGTCTCTTCTGATCATTAATGAAATATTTAAAAGAAACAAGGTTCTCACCACAGAAATCACTTCCAGGTACGTTACAAAGCTAGCCTAGACTAGTCACAATTAATCCAGACTGTCTGCCTTCTCATTTCAGACACACCTTTTGGAAATAGTGACAATGGACTGCTGATTTTATATTACTCTAATAGAATGCAGATTTACTTTTATAATTAAAACTGCAGGGGTGTGTTTGATTCAGACTACACTCATTTCCTGAATCGAGATTCCTCTACGTTCACTTTCTGATTGTTATTTGCAATCCTGATTATCAGAAGTCTTTATATATTCTGACAGCTTTCCTTTACTATTATTGAGAAAATCACCTCTAAAGTGCAGCACCAAAACGAATGTATGCCCAGCTCACTTGCTAAGTCTGCCAGTTTCCAATGGCTTACTATATCTGAGACAAGCTGTCAGAAATCACCATTAAAAACCCACTTGAGAAAACAAATAGTGCAACACTCAGAGCTAAACCAGGAAAGCTGCCTTTAGCATTGCACTAGCCAATAACATTTTTAAAATGTTTCCTTCAGCACAGCTGAAATTGTGTTCTCGATGGGCAAGGATCCAGCTTTGTGCTTGCTCAGCATTTTAATGATCTTGAAGACTTTTTCTTAAATTCCCTTTTGATAATCTGCAGTTCACAGCTGGACCAGATGTTTCTATCCTCCCGCCCTCAGCTGCATGCAATAAGAAATCAAACAACTTAAGTCTTTCCCTTCAGAAAATGAATCCAAAAGTAAGAGAAGCAGAAAGCAAGCCTTCTCTACCAATGGATAGTTGTTGACGCACTCGTCAGGACATTTCTCCTCTTGATCCAAAGGTGGTGTTATTAGAGTGATGTCCCACAAAAGACAAAATGCACACCTGAATAATTATGATAGCAGTTCATGGCTGGGTAGGACACTGTAAAGTGGGAAACTAACAGGAAATAGTGGTTGAAAATATAGAACAAAATGAGGAGATGTGTTGAAAATTCTCCTGGACTTCTGCTGTAACTTTGGCTGAAATGCTGAACTCCTCCTCCAACCCCATCTCTAATATCTTTATTTGTCCCAGTATCATCATCCCTTTTGTCATTTAATCTCTCCTGCTTTCCAGTCTATCACAGATTTTCCCTTTTATTCTTGCCCTGACCCTCTGAGTCCTTTCACGACCTCTTAATTTGTTACATCTCCAACTTATTCCAGTTCTGATGAATGGTTGTTGACCTGATATGTTAACATTTTTCTCTCGCTTCACAAAAGCTGTCTGACTTTGTTTTATATTTTAAATTTCCAGCATCAATGATATTTGCTCTTGATTTTTCATACACACATTTGTCTGTTTTGATTTTGGGTTTGGATACAGTGTCCAATCACGAATTGCAGAAAGCTTACAGAGTTTAGTGTGTACGAATGCAGATAATTTCATGGGTCGATTTTATGTTCAGCAGTTGTGTTAATTGCTGGTAAGCAGGAATGTCCATTAAAATGAGATGATCAAATCACAATGAACAAGGACTTGGTGATGAAACCTTTGTGGAATCTCACTGTTATTCTCTTCCATCTGGACTCATACCCTCCAAAAAGCACATTTCAAAATGGACTCTTCTTTCTTTTAATAAAGTTATTATGCTTTTTACTTGTTTGCTTTATGTATGAGCTGCAGAAAGTTTTTACCCTCTGGCATTGTCAAAGTGGATGATGTAGCTGTCCTTTCCAAACTTCTTGAAGACCTCAAAGTGATGTCGATCCATATTTCCTGTAAACAAATTTAGAAACATTGTTATAACTAGCAGTAGAAAATTTCCATCAGGCCTAAATTTCTATTCAGAGATTGTTTTTGAAATTCAGCTTTAGCTGTCCAGATGGCTATCCTAGTCTTTAATGAGCCTGGCACTTAATGATCCATTAATGATGCCAATAATTATGAATATTAATTACTGAATTTTTAGTAGTTCTGCTGAGTCTCCTTGCATTGTCCTTGTCTAGTGATACCATAAAATATTTTAAAATCCTTAAGCAGCTCACTTTCCTAACAGTCACCAAAAAAAACTTTAAGATTGAACATGTCTCAAAATACTTCCCAAAAGCAGAAATCAAAGCATGAAGAGATGCAGTAAAGCAGATTTTAAGATGTTTCGAAGAAGCTTCAAGGGTGGGCAGACAACTAGAAAGGTGGAAAGATTTGGGAGGAGTGTTCTAGAGGTTTGAGCTAAGAATGATGCAGATTAATTCCTTCAACAATTTATGTTGCTTCTGATTGGAAGATCTTTCAAAGTGATACTGTGGACTCTGCAGTTTATTAAGACTGGGATTGAAAGGAGTAACCTCAAATAACAGAATTCATTCTTGTTCCATGTGACACTTGTCTTGGCTTCTGGAAGCTGCTCAATTAGCTCTATCAGTAAAATACTCTGCGAGCAAGAGCCACTCAATAGACCTATTCTGATCTCTCAAATACTTTTCTTCCTGACAAAACAAAATAATGATCTTGGACTAGATATGGAGATTTGATGTGTGCAAAATCATTTAACCTACTTTCAATCACTAACCAAAATGGCAACAACCCAAAAGAAATATCTTTACACCTTAAAAAGAAACAAGGTTTCATTTCAGAGCTGATGTGCGTACCTTGTCACTGCAACACAGTATACAAGAACGAGTTCAATCAAAACAGGATCAATTCGACATACTTCTCTGCATTGAGCTCCCTCTAGTGGAGTTCGCTGTTCCTGGTGATTGTTTTGAGAAATTGCTTGTGTGGCAATCATCTTTTACTACATTAAAGTGCAAATTCTGCCTGTTGTGTTACATGTACCTCATTTCTCATTTTAAAATTACTTTTGTTTGCATTGTACTATCGTTTTTGTTTGTTATATGGTGATAGGACTTTGTTTTTTCTTCCAAAATGTGCCGAGGGACATTCCTACCGATACAAATGAAGATTCCTCTGGTCAATCTTGGCCAATCTTAATGTTTCAGTATTGCCCAGTGAGTTGGCTCGAATGATATCACAGCTGAATTGACCCTACCTTTTCTTGATATCCCTCATAATGTATAAATCAACAGAAATGACAGGATACTAATATATAAAAAAACACACCTTTTGAGTCCAAGTGGGCTGGGTTCAATTGTAGTAATTATTGACCTACTTCCTCACAACCTAGAGAACACACAAAGTACCTCCTGACTCAGTTATGTGCTGAGGTGCGATGGAATGACAAATTTGGGTTGTGAATACTGGGGGTAAAAGTGGTGTTTAATAGAGTCATAGAGTCATACAGCACAGAAACAGACCCTTCCGTTCAACCAGTCCATGCCGAACATAATCCCAAACTAAACTAATCCCACCTGCCTGCTCCTGGCCCATACCCCTCAAAACCTTTCCTATTCATGTATCTATTCAAATGTCTTTTAAACATTGTAATTGTACCCGCATTCACTACTTCCTCAGGAAATTCATTCCGCACATGAACCACCCTCTGTGTATAAAATTTGCCTCTCATGTCTTTTTAAAATTTCTCTCCTCTCACCTTAAATAATGTTACATCTAGTCTTGAATCTCTTATAAATCAATGTACAGACAGTTCTCAACAATCAGCTTTGTCAAGTTGAGGCACTGTCAGACTAGCATATCCTCCACAGGGAGTTAAAGTCAATTGTATTTTATTAGTTGAAACCTTGCTGCCCTTCCATCTCTTCTCACTCCATTCAAATGTCACTTAAAATCCATGTTTTTAGCCAACTGTTCTAATATTTCCGTTTGTGGCTTGGTGACAACGTTTGCGAGATTATCTTCTTGTGAAACACCTTCTTGTTTACTGCATTAGGGCTGCTCTTGCTGTTGAAACAATTGGAAGTAAATGAGAAAATTATCTTCCTTTCCATTCTTACCTGTTAAAAAGTCAAATATCGCCATATCGATAACATTCAATAATCTGCTACCTGTGTTGTAAGGAGGAGTACGTTTGATCTTGTCACAGTAACTTGGATTGGTTTCCCACCTACAGAAAAACAAGGAGAGAACAGAAATGTTTTGAAATCCTAGAGATAATAACACTCACAGTACATCATAATGTCAGCAAACCCATTAATGTATTGCTTCCCAAGTACATATTGCTTTAAGGCAATTCAATTTTTGTCTAATACTTACCATTTTGACTGAGTGGAATCTTGCTCTTTACTTTTCTAATTGCTAATATTGTTTTCTTCCATCCTTCATCAAGACCAAATGTATTATGTACATTGACTGATCAATACTGTTTGAGCAAATACTTAAGCAATTCCATTATTTTTCTCTATTCTACTCATTATCTGTTATTTTTGCTTGTTTTGGAGCTCCCCCATTGTATGTACCTAGTGCCATAGAATGTATGTTTCAGGTGTTTGGTTCTTGTGAATGGGATTTTCCTTATAATGTAAGGAATGTGATTCATATTTTATTATGTTATTTTTGAATTCTTAGATGTGAACTAGTGGCATGTGGGCTTTGTGTATTTCTGAAGAGATTAACTTGGAAGTATTTCAGTAACTATAGGGATTTATTTTAAAATACAGTATTAGTAAGGGACTTCCCGGAGAATAATAGGTTTTGATTATATTGGGATAGTTTATAAACGAATAACTTAAACAGTACAGTGCTTTAGGCTTTCAGACAGCAAATTCTGGATTTTTTGAGTTTAAGGGGAACTCCTATGGCTTGGAAAACATATTTTTAGTTTCAGCATGGGATAGTTTGCAGAAATCTTGGCTGAAGCTGGATGTGTGTAATAGTTGCTCCTGAGAAACGGAGGTAGTTTGAGACTGTTAAGGAAGAGGTTACCTGACTATAAGGAGATTAGTTTAAAACTTTGGGTCCAAAAGTGTTTGTTTACAACACTGAAACAGTTATTTTAACTGAGAAAGTTTAAGCTCAGTTGAATGAACACTCCAAGAAAAGGCAATCAGATTCTCAACATGGGGAATTAAAGGCACAATTACATTAAGCCCCAAGGATGTGAAAGAGAAGGACTAAGGGTAGGTGGGTTGCTAATAACACATCTACCCACCATAATATGGGGGACAAATTGAAGGTGAGCTAGAAGGTAGAGAGTAGCCCTCTGTTCTCTTTTACATATGCCCTCATTTGGAATTACATTGGTGGGAGGGCTGTAAAATTCAGTGGAGTAGGAGGATGTAGGCCATCAAACACATTAGGATGAAGGCAGAGAGGAAATGTGATGTATATATTTGTGGAGACTTAGGGAAGTGAGGCATTTGCTCGGTTGGGGGGTGGGAATCATTAATAAGCTGAAATAGAAAGCATGCAATATTTGTGTTCTACATTTTTTAATTCAACCTGTTTGGATAGGTCACATGGCATACCTTCAGGGCAGGTGGGACTTGAACCAAAACTTTGTGACCCAGCAGCAAGAACACTATGTCTGCACCTCAAAATCTTTAAAGCATTGGGCTAGGTCTCTGAAATACTTGTCCAGTCACATACATCACTACCAAGCTGAGACTAATTTCATAGAATAGAATCCCTATAGTCTGGAAGCTGGCCATTCAGCCCAACGAGTCTATACTGATTGTCCAAATAGCATCCCACCCAGACCCATCCTCTACCCTACCCCTGTAACCCTGCATTTTCCATGAATAATTCACCTCGCCTGCACATCCCTGGACACTATTGGCAATTTAGCTTGGCCAATCCACCTAACCTGAATATTTTTGGACTGTGGGAAGAAACCGGAGCACCTGGAGGAAATCAATGCAGATAATGTGCAAACACCACACAGTCCCCCGACAGCAGAATCAAACCTTGTGAGACAGCAGTGCTAACCACTGATCCACCGTGCCAACCATGAAACTAATTGTCAAAGCAATAATGACATAATAGAAACAGCTCTTGCGGTGCAGTGGTAGTGTCCCTAACTTTGAGCCAGGAGGCCAGGCTTATATCCCACCTACTCCAGACGTTTGTAATGACATCTCTGAACAGGTCAATTAGAAAATAACTGAAGGAATGGAAACCAGTGGAATACAAATCTTGGTTTCGTTTGTTCCATTTGTGATGGTTGGCACTCTATTCAAACCTGTTTCACTTCAGTTGCTATTATCTAAAGAGGAAGAATGTTGTAGCCGAAATACAGAGAGTGATAAATCCTAGCACTTACTCTTTTTTAACAGTGAACGTGTAGGATCTGCTCCACGGGTTCTCAATGAGTTCCCGCTGGGCAATGTACAGGTCAGGCAGAAAGGCAGACACTGACCCTTCCAGTAGGTGAGGTTTCCCACAGACTGCATACTCTGTTTTACATGAGTACAGACATCTTGCAAAGAAACACACATTGTTCTCTGTAAAAGAATAAAGACACAATTAATTCACAATATTGTTATAACCAAGTATAGACCTTATTTTGAAAATTGTTAAATAGTTAGAGTTGCCAACTCTGACCAAATATATTCCTCCAGTCTATTTGCCAGGTCAGTCTTCTTTGTCCATCTTTAATACTTTTATAACTAATCAACAAAAGTGTTCAAAAGAAATGAGAAAAGCACCACAATCATTCTGCTTTTGTTGTTGACAACGGAATCCAGGAGATTAATCTCTGATTCCTGGTGGTTCCAGGATAATCCTGGAAGGTTAACAGACCAACAAAGCAGACGTGACAGGAAGGGCAGGTGTGTACTTTGATATTTTAGCAACATTCATAGGAACTAAGAAAACTGTCCAGCCTTTGACTCTGGCAGGAAACAAGAACTTACTGCTGTACATGTCCTCAATGTTCCTTCACTCCTGTGGACAGGCATGTTAAAAGATCTTCTGCTATATTTCTCATTCACAAGATCTCTGTTTTTGATCTGGGTAAAACATTTTTGAAAAGTAATCTGAACACCAGCTGTGCAACGACAGCTTCATTCCATTGTTACTGTCCAACAGTGAATAGCTTAAAACAAACAGTCAGGAGTTTTGTTTAGTTATCTTTGGGGATGAGGAAGTATTTATGTAGATGTTTCCCGCAAGAGGTTAATATGGAGAAAACAGCTTGGCATGTGAAAGGAGCAACTTAATGATTAAATAATGTCCTTGCTTCATGCTTCCATACATTCTTATAGCCATTAATGGGAGAAGGAATCAAAAATTATACTAGTCAAATTGCCAAATTTAAAATAATAGAAATTTGCCAGGCTCTTAATTGTGCCAAGTGGAAACATTATAGAAAGATGATGAAATGAGTCGTGGGTTTATCAAGTGTACTACCAATTAAACAGTTACAAAGTACATACATTATTATTGTAGAAATCAGATGGAAATTGGCTTCCCTTTTTACACAGCAAAAATTGTTACTGAATTTGGACATTGAGAGGCGAGGACTGAATATTGTTACACATTTACGAAAGTATTTTGGACTGTCACTTGAGAGTCTGATCACGTGACATCATGTTAATGTCCTTGGCCATTTTGCAGGCAAACAGCCCAGTCTAGCTTGGGCCAGTGAACACCTCCCTTAATGAAGCTTTTACTCTCCCTTGGAGAGTGAACACCTCCCTTAATGAAGCTTTTACTGTTGTTAAACACTTCAGCCTCCGAGCCTTTGTGAAACATAACAAATATCTGGAATTATATTTGGGATAGGACAGTGCAAACCTATTTTTCTGCTGTTTGGAATATTTCAGGCTGGCTCCTCTCATTCATTTTCCACATGTGTTACTTGTTGAATTTACCATGTTGGACAAACCCAGGTTCCCACTTATTGGCATGATCAAAATGGACTCACACTCCTATTATTAGACGTAAGATGATTATACTGTTTTTAGCTTCTATTAGTTGAAAGAAAACTAAGTTGCTTTTCAGTTTATGGAAAGCTTTTGCTCTGAACTACACAGACTTCAGTAGAGTTTGGCTTCTTTCTTCATTACCTGGTGAGATGAAAAAAGTGGCTTTCAAATCTTCATTTCTAGTCAGGTCTTGGATTTCTCTACTTAGGTTAAGCTTTCGGCCAGCCACTGGTGGAACACGCCGGAAATCAAGAATTCTTCAATGGAAGGTATAGATTCATAGCAAATAAAATGAATAATATATTTGATTAATGTATCTTCAGATAAAGTGTGTGCGCATGTACCTGAGGCGCAGGGGTTTCAACTCCTGAACAATTGCTACTTTAGCAATTTACTTACAATTGCTACTGTATGCAATCTGTTGTTCAAAACAAAACCTTGGGCATTCTTAACAGCCCCAGTGCCATTTGTCATCAACAAACTGTTGATTGTGTATATTCCTGAATTTCTTATCAAAGAGCAACAGGAGGAAGCCATTAAACCCTTGAGCCAATTTCACTATTCAATAAGATCATGGCTGATTGTAAACCAACTCCATTTACCTTCCTTTTCCCTTAGTATCTTTGATTAATAAATCAAATCTCAGAGTTCCAACATTCTAACACCATTTACATGTTTTCTAATTCATTCCTCTAGGCCAATGTTCCAGTCCCATGACACTGTAAGCAATGGGAATTCCCATGTTGGCCATGGGACACCAGTTTTCTTTTGACTTCCATTGTTTCTAGCTTTCATCATTTGGAAAGTCCCCCATTCCGTCCTATTAGGTCCAAAGCAGACACTCTCACAGTTATCTCCACCAAAAGCTATTTGTCAGAACTTTGACCAATTGCTTGATCTGTTTGTATCTCTTTGTAATTTTGAGCAGTCATCTACACTACTCCCAATGCTCCTTTTCTTTATGTCAATGGAAAACAAGGACATGTGGCTATTTATCCCATCAGCATGTCATGGTGAACAGTTCCAGTCCCAAAAACAAATCTTTGTGGGACACCAGTAGTTACATCCAGCCGATTAGTCCATTATCCCTGCTGTCTTTATACCCTGTCATATACAACAACGTTACTGAAGCTTTTCAATCAATTAATGATGATGATTGAATATAGAAATCCCTTCTCCTCCTTTCCATTATTATTTAGATTGTTGTTTGAAGCAAATTTTTTTAAAAATCCTTCCAGTGCACCATTTTATACAGAGTTTATACTTGTGGTCAATCTGCTGATGATTGCTAAGCCATTGCCAACTTGTATTGAAAGACATTTTGATGCTGTGGGTTTAAAACATAACTTGCAAGCTGACACACAAGAGGAGGGAGCAGAGCCAATTGTTTTACACACCCCATGATAATTTTCCTTTTCACTGCAGTTGAGTTTCACTATTACATCTCCGGGACAAATTTAGTGCCGCATCCTGAGTGTAAGAAAGGCTGTGCTGTATTAGTTTGCAGTAAGGCTGCTGGACGGATCAGCTCTTAGTGCATTCCCCATCTAGGGGGAACACATTGAAAGACTTGCCTTTCGCTTCAAACACACATTCCAGAGAAGAAGCCTGAGTCACAACGTCTTTCCAGTTTAGGGGCCATAGAGTCATAGAGATATACAGTACGGAAACAGACCCTTGGGTCCAACTCGTCCAGGCCAACCAGATATCCTATATAAATCTAGTCCCATTTTCCAGCATTTGGCCCATATCCCTCTAAACCCTTCCTATTCGTATACCCATCCAGATGCCTTTTAAATGTTGTAATCGTACCAGCCTCCACCACTTTTTCTGGCAGCCCTTTCCATATACGCACCACCCTCTGTGTGAAAAAGTTGCCCCTTAAGTCCCTATTATATCTTTCCCTTCTAACCTTAAACCCTTCCCCCTAGATATGGACTCTCCCACCCTCGGGAAAAGACATTGCCCATAGATCTATCCATGCCCCTCATGATTTTATAAACTTCAATAAGGTTATCCCTCAGCCGCCAACACTCCAGGGAAATAGCCCCAACCTACTCAGCTTCTCCTTATAGGTCAAACGCTCCAACCCTGGTAACATCCTCATAAACCTTTTTTGAACCCTTTCTAGTTTCACAACATCCTTCCTACAGGAGGGAGACCAGAATTGCATGCAAAACTCCAAAAGTGGCTGAACCAATGTCTTGTACAGATGCAAAATGACCTCCCATAAGGGGAATGTAGTTGCTCCTGTGAAGGACAACTTAGATGGAGGAACAGAGTAAAGAGAGATTTTTTTAATGAACTCATTGTTTTCAAACACCTTCAACTCCACAGCTAAGTTTGAGCAATAAAAAGTGCATTGACAATAAAATCCCTTCTCCACCCAACTGTTTTCGTAGATGTGTCACCCTGCAGGGAACATATATATGATTATATGAACTCTCAATAGTTTATGTGGTTGATATAATTATAGTATTTTGGCTTAAACTTTAGGTGGAATGTCAGCCAGCTGTAATCTTTACAATAACAATATTTATGAAGATTTTCAAGAAGTACAACCTTCATAAAAAGACTTTCAGATAAAATCTTTCTATGCTCCAACATGGCATTGGCTTACTGCCATGCCTTGTCAGAGCTGGAATTTTTTTTATATTTCAAAACTTAGAAATTTCTTTTTGTTCTAATCCGAAATGGATTCTGGTCTCCTCTCTGAAAAATTAATAATTCTTAACATCACTGACACCAAGAGATGTGTTTTGAGGTTCCTGTGGGGTATATCATTATTTTGTTCTCCTGGTTAAATGTACATTTCCACAACTGATAATGGAGAAGATTTTGTTTTTAAATTAATGGAGGAGGAGTATAATTTAAAATGTAATTAAATCACACGATAGCCCACGACTAAGTGTCAATGAATTCATTTGTGTGCAAATAACTTCCTCTCACTTGTGCCCAGCTATTGAGAAGTGATGTTATAGTTTTCTGAATTCCCTCCTGATCCACTTCAATCAGAAGGCTGGATTTTTTTTAAGGGATTTTCCCAATAAATTGAATTTAAGTGTCTGGAATTAATGGCACCCTGTTCCCCACAGGTAAAAGCAAATCAGAGAAAGGAGCCCAGCCACTCAGCTGTCCAAAGACATTCAAAAGAGTCAGGCTTCCATGCCTTCTCCCCCAACACCAGGATGTCCCACCTCAGCTTGTGGGCTGGATGCCTTTGCGGACTCTCCCTCCACTGCTTTAATCCCAGTCACAGCACGATGAGACCTTTAAGTGGGCATTAGTTGGTCGCGCAAGGGCTTCAATTGGCCTGCAGGTTGACTGACAACTTGACACACAGTAACCCCACCCAGCACTCTTTGTAAAATGGGGATGTAGTGAATGATTGGTGGCAGGCATGTACCAACTGCACCCTCCCCACCCCATCTTAGGGATGTGCAGGCTAGGTGTATTAGCCACGGTAAATGCAGGGTTACAGAGATAGGGTAGGAGGGTGGATCTGGTTGAGATGCTCATCAGAGGCTTGTTGTGGACTCATTGGACCGAATGGCCTGCTTCCATACTGTAAGGATTCTATGATCTTCGAAACCACAAACAAGGGAATATTAAATTTTGCCCCACGTGTTTGCATTCACATTGGCTTTTACAACAACATTTCGAGATAACAGAAATGTTAATCCCCAAGATCACACTGCTCAAAAGCTTCTTGCTTTTGGTCCTTCTACAAATCACCAGAAAGTTGAGCAAGACGGCAGCTGGATTAATGTAAAAACCCATTAGTTCACTAAAATCTCGCCCTGCCTACTTGGCCTAACCTAGCTAGTACAATATTACGAGGCTGACTCTTAATCCCATCTGTGTTCAGTCAGCTGCTCAATTATAAAATCCAAGCAACTATGAATAGACAATGAATGTTGTTTTTCCAGTGTTAAATATTGATCAATTTTAAAAAATCTTGCATCAAAAATTCAAAGCCTACAGAGCATGACAAAGACCAATAAGAATTAAAGATGAATACATTAATATATACAATGAAGTGGATTATTGTACAATCTCATTATTCTAGATAATCTGTTTCAGGGAGCTATTACTGTTGAAGTCTGTAGAACCATACAAACAGCCCGTAATTCATTTCATTGCCATCTTAGTGTTAGTAAAACTTCATTCCATTTTTAGTCATTTACATTGGATTCTTTAAGTTGGCCTTACCTGTCCAGGTGAAAAGCAGCTATTTCAGCATTATGCCTTTGAAAGTCAACAAAATAAAACACATCTGCTGGAGTTTCCTCTTCTCGTTTCTGCCTGAGAAAACGGAAGGAACATTTCTTTTGTAGTGTGGGTCATTCATCATGCAACAAATTAAAGGGTAATTTACCCGGTTATTACACACACACATACACATTACCTCTGTGAATTATTTCTTTAATTCTCCTCTTAATGGCTCTTCCCATGATTTCTCAGTGACCCACTGACTTCCTGCAATCTGCTGTATAGCCAGCTGGCAGAAAGTGCCTGACCCTTTATGTTCTGAATATCTTCATTTAACTGCTGGACTAGTCAGTAATAGGCCTAGAATCACTGTGCTCAGAACACGGAGATATGTACTTCCATAAACAATCCCCTTAGAAGTGATATTAGATGGTCATAGTTACACTCTGGGAGAAAGGCTGTGGAAGAATTTAATTTGTTCTTTGTCTTCCTGGCTAGATATCCTCAATTTACAGCAATGATATTGTCAAACAGATGTAGTTGCTGTTGATTTTAAATCTTCTTACAACATTGGTTAGTATGTGAAAGACAAAGAGAGATGCACCCAGAATTAAAGGAGGCTGTCAAAATTATCTGCTACGTTTTGAGGGCTCAAGTGTTACCATCCCTTTATGGCCATGAACCAACACCCCATTACTCTCTCCTGTTTTCCCCCATTTACACACCTTCCCTCTCATGTTTTCCTCTTCTCCCATTTTTCCCTGCCTCTGACCTTGCTTAATCATAAAAGATTGGCAACTTTTTGCTGTTCTGATATGAGGTTATTGAGCTGAAATATTAACTATGTTTCTCTCATAGAATCCCTACAGCATGGAAAGAGGCCATTTGGCCCATTTAGTCTACACTGACCCTCCGAAGAACATCCCACCCAGACTCCTACTCCATCTCCAAAACCCTACATTTACCACGGCTAATCTACCTAGTTTGCACATCCCTGCAGACTATGGGCAATTTAGCCTGGCCAATCCACCTAACCTGCACAACTTTGGACAATGGAAGGAAACTGGAACACCCAGAGGAAACCCACGCAGACATGGAGAGGATGTGCAAACTCCACACAGACAGTTACCCAAGGCTGGAATTAAACCTGTGTCCCTGGCACTGTGAGGCAGCCGTGCTAACCACTGAGCCACCATGCTGCCCCTACTTGGGAAAAACAGACAGAACTAAAAAAAAAAATCAGTGGGCCGAATATTCCCATTTTTTTGGCTAAGTGTCATTTTTGTCAAGTTTCATGTGAGGTCTAACATGTCACAATCACCAGACTGTGCTCCTGAAACTGTGCTTCTTCCTAGGAAGAATACCCTTTGAGGTGAAAGCCTCTGAGTTGGTGGAGGTGCAGAGAAAAGCCTTGTGAATGTATCCTCTGAGGGCTCAGCAGCTTCCACTTGAGGTCTCTTCATCCCACAAGTGGTCATGCTCTTCTCCGGCTAATTCAAGAGTCTTCTTCGTCTAAGGAGCAAAGGGCCTGATGTCCACCCTTCCCTCCCACCACCCATTGATCTTTCCCTTCTTGGCTCAGTTATGGGTCAAATCCTCCTGCAATGAGACAACAAGAGGGTTCAATATGACGGAAGTAGATGGAAGAGATATTAGTGCTGATATGTCAGCAGGATAAGTGGTAAGGTCTCCCCAGTGAGTGAGAATGAAGCTCAGATGGCAGGAAGGGTTAGCAGGTTGGGAGGAATGAGGTGGATGGGAGTCATTGGGTGGATTTGATGGATGTAGTAATGAGAGAGATCCAATCCATGAGCCTTGGTGAGGAGTGTGTGCAGTGGCAGAGTTAGAGACAGCAGTGGCCCATTATTTTTGAGGTAGCAGAGAGACAATGGTGGCTCTTATCTTGCAGAGTGCAGAGGATCATTGGTCTTTTCCCTTCATTGCTGAGTGTCCCCTTCTGACTTGAAATAAGCACTAACCTGAGCTATTTAAGTCCAGGCTGGTTTGAACTGGTGGCATGGCCTCCTGTGGCAGCCTGCAGGAGAGAAGACAGCCCTCCTCTCCACAGCAACTTCAGGCCCCTGTCTGCAAAGCATGGAGCAGGCGTTTCTCTCCTGTGACCCATACCTCCAGAGTGTCAGGGATAGTTCCTGGCTTGCAGCATCAGAAGTGCACAGTCTGCTTTAAATATGATAAAGGCAGCAGGAACACTGGGAAGAACCAGCAGCAATAAGCACTTCCATCTCTTCTGACATGCCATCCCATAAGAAAGGTCCTCAAGAGCCCAAAAGGTTGCATGATACAAGTTGTTGTAAGCCATGGCAGACAGGTCGATATGAATCTCACTCAGCAAAACACTAAATGCAAAAGGGCAAGTTCCACCCAATGTCTATTTCCCTTGGCTGAGCTCCTTAGGTCGTTGCAAAATTTCAATTGGATCAGTTTGAATTTTGCCTCTTGCATCTGGCTGGTCTCTGAAAGTGATCCCTCTGCTCTATCAGGTGAAATCAGCAACCACTAAGTTGCACAGGCCAATTAGGAATCCCAAACTAAACAGGGGCTGAGATTTTGAAAATTTAACAAATTTATCTCGTGGATTGCTTCCTGGTAACAGTTAGTAATATAAATATTAAGGAAAAATTGCAATAAGGATAAACATTGATCAGGACACCCGGGATAACTCCCTTGCTCTTATTAAAATTAAATTCATGGGCTCTTTTGTGTCAATTGAGGGGGCAAGTTCAGTTTAACATCTTATCCAAAAGACAGCATGTGTAATGATGCAGCACTCCAAAATTATACTGGGTTGTCAGCCCAGAACTTTGTGCTCAAATCCCTGTTGTGTGTCTTCTATCCACAAACATTTACCTCAGAGGCAAACGTCCGACTAACTGAGCCACAGCTGGCACATTGGTTTTTAATGCTTAGCGTTCTAAAGTATAATAACTGAGAGCCGCATCTTCGATAGCAGTTATGCCTGAGTGTGTTACATGTTTTCATATACTTGAGGTGTTCAATTGATATGAATTACCTTGTGGTTTGTGAGCATCTTCTCAACCATGAGCCAGTGTTGCAGTGCATGAACACACTCCAACACGACTGCCAAACTCTGCATCATGCAGACGTCGCAATTTGTTTTGTTTTAAATTTGTCGTAAAATCTGCTGCACCAGGGTGTATCATTAAGTTTCGTGGAACCCTGGGGTAGTGGGGCTTGAGAATCAGCGCACTTTTGCAAGTAGGTTGGAACAATGTTGATCAGTAGTTTGTCCATATTAAAAAAGGGAGACTCAGAGGCATGCTCATTACATATTGATTTGATTTTGAACAGCCAAATATGCATTTTTCTTCTAATTTGTAAAATTCAAATTTTAAAATGAGTGTAATTTCCACAGTGGATTGTAATGATCTTCACTTTAATTTCAGCAGAAATTCCAGAGAAAAAGCAGAATCATTTATGCCATTTCTTCAAAGTTTCGAATAATACTACACCATAATCTCCAGCGAACCTCTTAGGGATCTTGGAAGTCTGACCACTTATTGTGCAGTAAGTGACAGTTTTCTATGAAAGGAAAGAAGTGTTTAATCTTGCGACTGATTACTTCCGCTAGATTTGTGGGTGAAGCCACTGGCTTACAACGTGTGGTATACAGTGGAATAATAAATTTCTATGACCATGAAGGTTAACAGGTCAAGCTGTAGGTGAAGGTTGTAACTCACCTTTATTCACAAGCCCGATTACCCCTGATCATTGCTAATGAGTGGCAAATTCCAATTCAATGAGTGAGCCAAAAGTTTTGTGGTGGAGTTTGAAACTTTGTTTTTCTGGTTGTTTGTGACTTTTTAAAAACTGGAACTCAATTCAGATTGTGATACGGGGATCTATATTTCCATTAAAGTTGGTGACATTTGAGTGCATTTTCATTGAACCAAACTGTGACCAGTGTTTGAAGATGGAATAGTCAATTAATTTTAATGTCCTAGAAATAATGGGTAAGGGTTTCTTGCCAGTTGCTATTTGTCGTGAAGTTGTAACCATTTTCTTTACAATCATATTTATGGTTGAGCAGAAATTGTAAAATGAGGTAACTCCTCCTAATGTACTTAATTCCTTTTTATATTTATTTACAGGACATGAGGATGTTGTAAAGCCAGTGCTTATTTCTCATTCCTATTTACCTTTGAAGGTAATGGTGGCTTGTCATTCTCAAATACAAGTGGTTTGCGAGGCCATTAAGTCTTGTGGGTCTGGAGTCACATTATAGGCTGGACTAAATCAGTATAGCAGATTACCCTCCTTAGAAGGTAGCAGATATTGACAGTGTTTCCTGAAGGCACAGTGGGCATATAATTTGGGCAGGAAATTTGATGTTTCGGGTCAGGACCCTTCTTCAGAAATGGGGGTGGGGGAAGGGAGCTCAGAAATAAATAGAGAGGAGGGATGGGGCTGGGGAAGGTAGGTGGGATGTTGTTTGGTGAGCGCTGGTAGGAAGTGGTGGGGATTGGTCAGTGAGGGGGGAGGAGCGGATAGGTGAGAGAGAAGATGGACAGGTTGTGTCAGGTCAAGGTGGCAGGGATGAGAGGGAGGGTTGGTCATGGGATGACGCTGGGGGTAGGGAGATTTTGAAACTGGTAAAATCCACATTTAGGCCATTGGGCTGCAGGCTCCTGAGGTGGAGTATGAGGCGTTGCTCCTCCAGTTTCCTACTGCATTCCTCCAGCTCCACACCGTGTTATCTTTGACTCCAGCGTCGGCAGTTCTTACTATCCCTGAATGATTATTTTATAGTTATTTTCATGCAAATGACTGGAGCAAAAAAAGTCCAAGAATTAAAAGTAGGATGGGTCATTCCAAGGTCTGTCTCTCAGCAGTATCTCTGCAGTTTGATTTAAGCACATGGACGTCAAAAACAAGAAAAGTGCAATATTCTCAATCTTTCTTCGTGTCCTTTCTCATTTGTATATTTATAGCAGTGATGAACAATTACAAAATCTAATCATCCACTCCAGTGTGAAAGAGCTACAGGCTGTTTAATTTGCATTGGTGGGTGCTGGTGAATTGACTTACTTCATAGGCTTGAATATCGCTTTGCCGAAGTTCTGAAATTTTAGGAGTAGTTTCAGATGAACCCCACTTGGCTTCACAACTTGTGGGGAGAAAAAAAAGTCAAGAAAATCAAATACCATGAAAAGATAAAATAATGTTTCATATCATATAGAATACCTTCATTTGAATGCTGCTGCTAGCCACTACTCAATATCCAAGACAAACAGAGAATAAAAAAACTTGAAGCCAAAGTGCTCTAACTTTATAACAGAGCAAACACTTTGAGTTATATAATGAGAGCAGACTGTACATATACTCATAGCTTTAAGTGGGAAATCCACATCTTCTGCCCACAATTCTCATCCTTCAATTAAAAACTGTAATTCTCATGATTGAGGAAGAAGTGCTTCCTTCAGCAGAAAGATGCCCTAATTCCCAAACAATTAAACTAAGTGCAGTTTGGCTTGTGTATTTCAGAATTATAGAACACTGACACTGGTGCCAAGCAAGCCAGTTTCCAGAAAGCTGTAGCAATTTATGTCATGACCTTTCATTTCAGGGAATGACATCAATATTAGATCTGTCTTTCTTCATATTTATTATACATATAACCTTATATACACAGCGACTGTTGTGAAACTATTGCTCTTCCTGCACACGAGTACCAGATTGAGGTAGAAAGAATTCCAAAGTAGGGAGTTCTGTTCTAAAATTAAGTCTCCCTCATGATTGCACACAATCGGTTCAATCATGTAATGATGGGTGCCCTCAAATATTATGTGTAGAATTCTATGGGCTTCAGTGCACTTGAGATTTTCCATAGCATACCAGGAGCCAAAATTAAACGTAACATAATAATGATCCAATTTTATATACAGGGGCAAAGATACTTACTTTGGAAAAGGTGTGTGAAGCACCTTTAGAACATTTCTGGCATTTATAGCCTGGATCACAGTATGCTGGAAAGTCATTAAACACACTGTTCTGATTTTACTTTGTGCTGGGTACACTGTAATCTTGAAAGGAAAATAAAACCCTATTAAGTTTGGCAGCTGAGTTGCTTTCTGATTTTCAAATCAGCATGTGGCATAGAAGCTGTGTCAACTTGACCTCTGCCATGTTGACGTTTAAATCCAGGAGGACTGGGTGACACAGTGTGTCAGTCAGGCCCTGATTGAGAGGGGAAAGGGCAAGCAAGTTGCATTATGTGAATTGCTCTGGTTAACAGCCAGCATAGACACGATGGGTTGAATGGTCCCCTTCTGTGCTGCAGCCATTCTATGATCCTACAATATGGAAACATCTTCTAAACAGCACTTCAACAATCGCTTACTTCTAAACTTCATTTTCCAATGAGATGAAGTTTTAGTTTGAACGTAAACTATTCCCTTTGTAGAAAACAAACTTTGTGCTGTTTTGTTGAGGTAAGAGAAACATAAAATACCAGGCCTGCTTCGAACAGCAACTTGCACTTCAAAAGGTGTTGCTCAATAGGATACAGACATGATGTTAACTGACGAACACTCAAACCTCAGATATTAGGAAATACAGCATCCCACTTAGAATATTTAACTCCACTCCTTCTAATTACACAAAGGATTCACATAGTAGTTTTGGCTCTAGCCTTAATCCTTCCTGTAATGTGAGATCAAATATCTGGTATGTGCACATTTGGACACATGGTTCATTTCTCTACTTAAATACAAACACCATTTTATCAGCCTTGAACATTGCACTGTCCTGCTGCCAAGGGAAAAAAAAGCATTTTCATGTAAGTGCAAAAGGTAATATCAATCAGTCTAAAGTTAAACAGATTTCATTGCAATCAGCAACACCACAGTTCTCAGCAGTAAGGGTTCTAAGTGCTCAAAACAAACACCTTTTCATTAAAAGGAGTTTGCTGAACAAATTGTCAGCAGGTTTCCTTGTCCTTGACCATAACTGAGTGTGAAAAAGTTGCTGATGTGCTTTTAATAGCAGTGAGTATCAACCACAAAGTAGAAAAAAATCAAGTTGTTTTTATTCCCCTGTCCTGTTGAGACACGCGTCACTTTCCTGCAGTGTGAACAAATACAAAGTTTACTTTAAACCAGTTCAAATAGTGAAGGCTCTGCTCAAATACAAATGATTTATAGTTGCCAGAAATATCCAAAGTCCAAAAACATTAGTTACATTACCTAGTTTTAAGGTTTGAAACCACTTGTTTCATTTGTGCATCAATGTAATAAATGCTTTAATTAACTAAGATTAAAATTTGATGCTTCTGGATCTTATGCTAATCTCAACATCAAGCAAGAATGTAAGGCTGCATTGAGATCAGCTTTTATTTACTGGAAAGCAAGATTCATGAGTCAGAATAGAGAAGGGTAAATTTCACTCATACCTTCTTTACAATTGCATCTCCCATTCAAAGCCTTTTCATCGTACGTGTAATCTATGAAATATGTAAAAATATTTTATGTATAATAGTTAAAAGATTAAAGATTAATAACCTAAGAAGTAGTGAGACTGCCATTTTTGAGTCTTTATGAAGCAGTTTACATTTCGGAGTGATTTCAAAAGTGATAGTACATGACTTAAGAGTACAAATTGACCCTGTTTCTTGAGCGCAACAAGGTCAGAATTGTTTGGGAGGCCACCTCACACCACTTAAATTGGACAACGTGTAACTCTAGTGCTGTACAAAAGCAAACGTCAAAGGTGCTCAATTTGACCTTCTGGAAACTTTTGAAACCTAAGCTGAGCTTACTTAAATATTTGAAGTAAACAAGCACCCCTGTCTGCATGTAGGTGCACTTCTGGCCACAGAAGTTAGATTCACCAATAAACAGCATGATTACATTATGACTGCGCTCTCTGGTTTTCAAGATTTTTCGTATAAAATGGACAGTCTAAAAATGTACAAAATCACTCCCAAATAATAATTTTCTGAAAACTGTTTTACTTCCAAACACAATAGGACCTTTGAATAAAACAGATCTAGTCTATGGCAACTTGGTAACATGTTAAGTGAAAGCAGCTTCTGTTCCCAATAAACAAATAAATTGAAAAGGCGAATCAACATCTGGGTTTGCACAGCTGCCACTACCAGTCTTCATATCTGAATGCTGATCTCTGTGTTCCTGACAATAATTGTTAATAATCTGATATAATTCATTAACCCTTCAACTCCTCCATATTCCATGTAAAACTTCAGTATGATCCAATGCACCAGACCTGCTTTTATCCTGTCCTAGAAGATCCAGGATGGTGCAATCAAACATTTGTACAACTCAGTTTCTAAGCTCTATACAAGATATCTATTTAATTCACCCTCCAAAGATCTGTTTCTTTTATAGTTAGAATATAGTTAGAGCAATCAGAAGTTTGAATGATCAATAGATAAAATAATAAACTAATCAATTACTAAATAAGATACAGAACAAATGCTAAACATCTAGACACATGGGAAGTTATTCAAAAGTTGCTTTATCAAACTGTGTACAATAGAAAACTGTTGTTTTTAGTTCATTAGCAATTTGCTTCTTTATTTGTTTTGGCAGAACTCAACTCAAAGCTCTCTTTTGGGTCTTCATGCATCACAGAAACATGTTACTTACCCCAACAACTGTAATTACTTTTGACATAAGGTAGGAGCATTCCAAATATCACATCTGTTACTTACATAGTGATGGAGTCACTATTCATTTCCAACATTCCCCTGAGACAACCATCACACAATTCCGGATTAACACAGAGTACTGCTGATGTCTGAATGAACTGGGATTCATTCACAAAAAACAAAGACCTTTGATGATTTCAGCATTTTTATTGCTCCTATGATTCAATATTCCCTAGACAGTGATTTGTCTTATGCATGGAAGCAAGGCCTATTACACATTATAGATGAGGAAATCAATCCAACAAAACCTGGTTATTACTAATGTTCACTTTCCTGGCTAAAAATCAAGACACCACACCTTATCAGGGTCCAGTTGTAAAATTCAACATTGATATAGTTTAAAAAAAATCTTGTGATGAACTAGTCTCATGATATTCTTTATCCTTAGTCCAATAGGCATTAAAACAGTCACTAAAACAGATCCTCAAACACCTGGTGAAATTGAGAGTCTACAGCCAAAGGCACATTGAAAACAAACACAACGCTGTTTAGGACTGAGATGAGAATTTCTTTTGCTCAGAGGGTGGTGAATCTTTGGAATTCTCTACTCTGGAATGGTGTGAAAGTTTAGTCTTTGAATATATTTAAAATAGAGGGTTTTTTTTATTATTGATGTAAAGTGTTATGAGGATAGTGTGGATAAAAACCGATCAGCCATGATGCTATTAAATGAATTCCCCAATCAGGGGAAACAGCTTCCGTGCATCTGCCCTATCGATCACTTTAAGTAGTTTCTAGGTTTCAATGCAATCACCTCTTATTCTTTAAAACTCAAGAGAATACAGGCCGAGTCTGGCCAATGTGTCTTCTTAGGATATATGCACCGTCCCAGGAACAAATTTCTGATTTTTGAACCTTTGTTGCATTTGCTTCAGTGCAACAATACCTTTCTTGAGATAAAGAGGCCAAAAGTGTACACAGTTCTGTAGATGCAGTCTACCCAATCTCCTATTACAACTGAAGCAAAACTCACTTTTCCTGTACTCAAATCCTCTTGTGATTAGTGTTAACATTCCACTAACTTTCCTAATTGCATGCTACACCTGCATGTTAAGCTGACTGGGCTGTATAGCCTGTTCCTATGTTTGTTCTGTTTTTTTCCCACCAATGATGAAGTTTACAGTGTTACTTTCATACTGGCAACGTATATATAGAATGTATGAAATAGGAGCAGAGGTAAATCTTCGAACCCTTGAAGCTTCTCCACTATTCTGTAAGATCATAGCTGGTCTGTTTGTGTTTCAAATTCCACCTTCCAATCTACCCCAAAAACATTTGATTCCTTTACCCAAGAAGAATCTACTAACCTCCACCTTAAAAATATTCACTAACCCTGCCTCCACTGGCTTCTGAAGCAGAAACTTCCAAAGTCACACAACCCTCTGACAGAAAAGATCTTTCCTCATGTCTGTCCTAAAAGGGAAATCCCAAATTTTAAAACAGCCTCCCGTAG